AGTTCCAAATAAAGAGACTTCTAAAAGTCTCGCTGATAAGATTATTGCAAGAATTGAGGAAGGTGAGTCAAGGTTTAGGTTAATTTTGTCGTTGCATTATTATAATCATCGTTATAATTACATCATCATTGTCATCATCAACATTATTATTATTATCGTTATAATGATCATCATTATCATTATATTGTTCAGTTTAAAACATAACCTTGCCCTTTATTAACTCGAAGATTGCGAAGCAATTGAAGAGTTATTGGAGGGGACGAATCTGTCACTCACTCAGTCACTCACTTTCMTGTAAACTTGAATTATTRATTTATTCTAATAATTTATTTACTAATTTAATGTACTCAACAGAAAAAGTCATCCCAGAAATTGACCTCGCTTTTGCTATGAGYTCAACATCAGCTTCRTCGACACAAACTTACAAGCTGATGAAAGAMAYGATCAACACAATCGTGAGCGATTATGGCATCGAAAAGTTCCATTATAGYGTAATCGTGTTCGGCGCCTCGCCCAAGACATTCGTCCAATTCAGCGAGAAGTTCCCTAATGCTGAGAATCTTAAAGGCTTTATAAGTGCCCTCCCKAGGAGAGTCGGTGGTCCGTCGTTAGATGAAGCTTTGAAGGAAGGTCGTAAATTGTTTTTGAATMCGTTTGTAMGAAGAAATGCCAAGAAAGTTTTGGTCGTTATTACTGATAGGTACGTTTGTAATATCTTACTCGTTAGCTGTCCATAATTCCGCTGTGTAGGGGTATCRCAGGCGACAAGATGGCGGATTAATAATGCCCTTATGTAAATAATTTTATCAGACTAATTTCCTATTTTTTTGTTTATGTTTTCTCTCTTTTCATCTCTCATCTTTTTTATCTCTGTTTTCATCGTTTTTCTTTCCATTCCATTCACACTTTACAACTTTCCATGAATTTGCTTCATTTCTTTCCTTTTTCTTCAATTTTTCTGTTTTTTTTCCTTTATTCAGATTCAGGTTCATTTTGCTTTTGTTAATTACTGCATTATTTATGTTGTAAATCTACCACACATGGACTTCTCATGTCTCCTAGAACTCTTACCTCGACATGTCGCTCCTTGCCAAAAAAAACCCTTTTATTCTTTTCTTGACACCTTAATAAATTCACTATACACGAACTCAAGAACTGTCACTCACAGATAAAAAACCTACCTGTTGTACACACACGAAAGTAGAAAGAAATAGTCAATGCGAAGAAGCGAATAGTCGGTTAAAATCTTGGTCTGTTATTCCTACGGAAAGGTTGAATTTATTGCTTTTTGAAATGAACGAAAATAATAATTTGACCAATGTTTATTTTAAAACCCGTACTCGTACTCTTTGTCAAAGCTTAAGTTTCCTAATAAAAGGACGGTTTTTATTCGTACTTTACAGAGCATCTGGTTTAAGCAAAGACGTCCTAATGGCAGCCAGTGAACCATTAGACCAAGGAAAGATTCGAGTGATATCCATTGCAATAGGAAATGAGGCAAATCCAAGTGAATTTACAGACATAACACCTAATGAAGGCGATGTTATTGCTGTGCCAAAGACTGAAAAACCCTCTAGTCTGGCAGATAAACTGATTGAAAAGATTCTGAAAGGTATAGCTTGTTTGTTTGTTCAACTGTGCTGATAGAAATGTTTGCAAACGTAAAGAGTCTTTTTCGTTATGGATGCTTAGTGCGAGAGGCAAGTATCTGTCCGTAATATTGAGATATTCGTTATATACAGAGGTGTATGTAATACAGAGGTGTCCGTAATATAGAGGTGTTCGTAATATAGAGGTGTTCGTAATATAGAGGTGTTCGTAATATAGAGGTGTTCGTAATATAGAGGTGTCTGTAATATAGGGGTGTTCGTAATATAGAGGTGTCTGTAATATAGAGGTGTCTGTAGTATAGAGGTGTTCGTAATATAGAGATGTTCGTAATATAGAGGTGTTCGTAATATAGAGGTGTCCGTAGTACAGAGGTGTCTGTAATTTAGACACAATTATTGTGTTCTAGAAACAATATTTTGGGTGATTTTTTTATTTTTGCTGTATCATGGTGTTAAGTACTAAGTGCACTAAAGTAGTACTTAGTAAGTAGTACTCAAGAAAAAACAAGCGAAACATTAAAGTCTGTACACTTTGCTAACGAGAAACGAATTAATAACTGTCCTGAAAAGCCTTATCCGAGACGTCTCGGCAATTAAGTATTAACGTCCTCGTAGCACGTGTACAAGTAGAGTGTTTTAGCTTGATGGATATTATATATCGCTTTATTCCTCGAGGACAATTTGGAATCTCTGTGCGTCAGTTTTTAGTCTGTGGTAATTTGCTTTCTGTTAGTCGGGAAGTATGACGTATGTCTTGAAAGCCACTTGAGAGCTTGTCAATTCGTCAATTTGCGCTGTCTTTACGTTTGAAAAAAGCCTTTTTTCAACGAACATCTGCGTCGGAACTTAGCAAAATAATAAAGTGCCTACTGGAGCATATTTGAGAGCTTGATGTGTTTTCCTTTTGCGAATTTCGTGTATAGGAAAAAGTATTTTTTTTATTATACCTGTGCATTGAAGTGTCCTCAGGAAGCTACTTGGAATCTTGTAATTTTTTCCCCCTAATTTGGACTTTCTTTCAGTTGAGATAACATTTTGAATAATCCTCACCGGTGCTCCTTAAGTGTGTATTTTATCAAGTGTCTCTTGAAAGTCGATTGAAAGCTTGTCAATTATTCAATTTGTGCACTTTGGCCTTCACTTAGGAAATCAATTTCAAAGAACTTCTGAGATGAAACTTCAAAAGCAAGTCCAATTGTTCAATTTTTTCAGTTTTCTTTCAGAAAGCATATTGAATTAGTCTATGTATTGAAACCTTGACTATTAGATTTTGTTTCACGGGTTTAATGTCTCTAACTGTTCGTAAAAGACAATTCAATGTCGTCGATATTGCGCGGTTTTCTCCTCACAGTCGATAGTCCAGAAATCGCACTCGTATCATCCAACCTTCTACACCGTATTGCCACAACATCGCCATTAAACGCCCTCACAGAACACCTACTTTTACGATGTCCCAAGATACTTTTCGCGATGTTTTTAAACCGTTTCCTATACTGTCTGTTAAACACGCAAAGAATCACGGGATTGAGTGCGCAGTTGCTATGCGCAAAAACAAACCTTAAAAGTCCAATTTCACAGCTTAATGGCCGCTCAAAGATTTCAAACGCGAAGAAATAAATAAACCAACATAGGATGAAGCAAATCGTGATGACGAGAAGCATTTGAAGTAGTTTTCTCGATGCTTGCTCTTTTCTTGACTTTGCGAATCTGTTTGAAACTCCCGGTGGCTTTGCTTGCTTTAGTTTTACTATAAGTACAGAGTACAGTAGAATAGTGACTAACAGCGAAGACGAGTATACGGACATCAGAAGTCTCTCATAAACACGAAATTTATCGCCTAATAACGCCTTTAAGTTAGATGCACATACAAGAGCTCCCCTTGAGATCTTCAATATCGGCGTGACAAGATACGGAAAACGTAAACAAGCGGACGTAATCCACGTAGCGATAATCAGAATTTTGGTAACAGTACGAGTCATGATGTTACGTAGCGGGAAAACCATGGCGCAAAATCGATCGACGGTGACTCCAAGTATATTAAATAACGATACTAGTATAGCCACGTGGTGAAGAAACGGTACAATACGGCAAAACGCTAGACCTAACGCACCGTGAACAAGCCATTCTCTACCCACACTGTACTTTGCTATCATTCTCGGCATATAGACAACCGTTACTACTAAGTCAGCAATCGCCATGTTGAGGAGAAAGCAATGCGCGCTCTTTCTCGTAARTTTTCCGTTGATGATAACCGCAAGAGTCAGCGAATTACCAACCAATGACAGTAACAGTATCATTACGTAAAGTAAGATCGGTAGAATCAATGGTAAGTCCGTAAGACAACTATTTGTTGGCCCGTTTACGGTTTCGTTTGCGTATCTGCTTCCATTTACGTTCTCAAGCGCGTAACCTGAAGCATTGAAGTATGGTTTTACGGAATAGTTTACGTTCGTTAACGCGTTAACAGTGTTAAACGAATTGTTAACGTGCGTGTTTCCAAACAAAGACATCGGTGGATTTTTGACGTAATTGTTTCTTTACGTAATTTAGATCACAATAAGGTTGCTATTCTATGAATTGCACTTCTATGCAGGCTATCAGTAGTTCGATCTTTTCTTTGTTATTCAGCTTATACAGATTTTAATAGTTGATTTCCTGATGATATCGTATGTATTCGAGAACGTTTGATCRCTGCTGAGACGCTTGTTTTACTCCATTTCCTTTTTGGCGAGATTTTAAAAATATTCCAGAACGATTAATCATCAGACACACTTGTTTACTGGCTGTCCAATGCCCAATGTTGATTATTAGCTGTTCTTCTCGAATATTTAACGTCGCTCTCCCTCAGTGATCAAGTGTTCTAGAGCGTTTAATCGTCACTATAGTGATTGATAAATAATTCTCAATGTTGGTAATGTTTTGTTAACGGAGAGTCTTGACCATGCGGCCAGACGATCAACAAAAMCAGTATTGTTAAATAACCAATCTTACGTATTCTATGAACACCTTGTCTTCATGCACATGAATGTAAAAAGGGTTCCAAGGTTTTATCCAACTGCGTGACAGCAGTGAATGGCAGTCAATTCGATTAAACTTCGCTACGATGACTTTTTTGAACTCCAGGTGCCAAGCCGGTGGTTCACAGTTTWTGTGACGGCACAGTTTAAATGCTTAAAAAAGACCTATGATTCCATTCTCTTTTCTTAGTATTTATAYTTAGGTGATATATTCGCTRCGATGTTGGCTTTTTTGAACTCCAGGTGCCCAGCCGGTCGTCCGACGTTTTTGTAAGMAGTTYAAAAGCTTGAAAAGACATATAATTCCATTCTCTTTTCTTAGTATTTATACTTTGGTTATATTTTACAGACGTGTCGCATTATAAGGTACTTTTTGGTGACTGAATTGCTTATATTGTCATTTTTAAAATACTAAGAAACTATGACCTAGAATCCCAATCTGACAAACTGTCCAGTATTTCTCTAATCTGAAGCGTGTTCTTTAAATATAGGATTATCTCAGTTCCTCTGTGTACTTTAGTAGATCTTTAACAGATAGTTGGCTGTCGTAGATTACAAGTCCATTACCATGTCCATTATGTATTTCACAATATCATGAAGCTAATCCAGYAGGTTTGGAGTGAGGGTTTTGCTACGTCTGTCTCTGAAGTACCATTTCCTAATAATGTAAAATAAAAATTAACCTAGATTGCGATTTTAAGTGCTTTATGTTTAATACAACACGGAAGCGACTAATCATGAAATAAACCAAAGACGAAAAYAATAAGCAYTTGGATACAACTGCTTCTGAAAAGGTTGTTATTGAGAATSGGAGAAWTSTACGATCRCAAGTCATTGTGGGTACTGTATTCTCTTTTTAAGATAAYTAAAAGTTCGATGTAAGCGTTTGATGGCTATCTCAGCCTGAACAAACAAAAGGTTAATTGCTATCCACTATCGCAGTATTGTCGTTTATCATTAAATCAAACCTGTTCGTGCTGAGTTCAATAGCCGATTTGCATTATGGCTTCATTTACTACAACTACCAGAATGCTTTGCCAACTTTCTTTTGTAATGCAATTAGTGCCAATTGTTTTATTAATCTCCAAGGGGATTAAAAATCTGAATAACAATGAAAATGCGCAAGGCACTCTGGTAGTTGTAGTAAAGTTACGCCATAATGCAAACGGCCTATTCCCATCTATTTCAGCTGCTCCTTTCAGTGATCATTTTATTTGCCTTGAACTCAGTACATGTTAGATTCGACGTACAAAACTGGTCTTAATTGTATCAATAAAATTATCCTTTTAACCGAAGAAATTTTGCAAGGCCTAATAATCGTCCCGATCTCCAAMAAAATTAGTTTTTATATTTTTCTAATTAGTAATTTCCTCAAGGAAATCAGCAAAAATGCAAACCGCATGCTAAGAAGATTGGGATGGTTATATGGGTATTAGGCCTGAGAAGTTAGTTTTATGTTGTACATGTAGCAATGATTTTAACAACAACAGCATCAAAAACGATAAAAACAACAACAATAACAACAACAACAGCAAACAACAGCAGTAACAACGACCACAACAACAGCAACAACAGGCAACAACAACAGCAGCAACAACAACAACACTGAGCAACAACAGCAAAAACAACAACAACAACAGCAGCAGCAACAACAAGAACAAGAATAACAAGAACAACAGTAGCAACAACAACAACAGTCGCAACAACAGCATCGGCAACACCAGCAACAGCGAGAACAACAGCAACAGCAGCAGCAACAGCGAGAACAACAACGGCAATAAAAAACAACAAAACTAATGACAACAGCAACAACAAAAACAACAACAGCAGAACAACATTAACATCAAAAAGAAAAGCAAGGAATAGAGAAGTAATAAAAGAGACGTAATRAAAGAGACGTAATAAAAGAACGTAATAAAAGAGACGTTAATAAAAGAGACCGTAAGCAGCAGTAAACAGCTGTTGGCTCAAGTACTAAAGGCTAACCAACTTTAATCAGACGTTCGCTGTACGAGATTTTAAAAAGGAAATCTGTTTGTTTTTCTGAAAAGAAATCCATTTAACTCCAAAACCATAGTTTACTGACAATACCGTTGAAGACATGAGTTTTTCATAAACCAAAATCATATCTTGG